CCTTCTATTTTTTCATCCTCTTGGTCATGTTTGGGTGATCCCATATTATTTTTGTCATGTACAATGATGACTTTGGGCCCTGATCTTTCTCCTTTTGGAGAAACATCATTGTCAGAATGTACTTCTTTCATCATTGGATGCTATCTCTTTCCCTTTTGTCGACAACATCTTTACTATCATGTTTAGCTGATCCGTCATTTCGTCAAACCCAACTAGTTTTTCATCAAACCCTGTTATCTTTCCCTCAATGTCACTTAGCATCTTCTGAAAAGCCTCCATAACGAACTCAACCTTAGATCTCGTTAAGTTCATAAAGTCTTGACCTTTTCCTGGTGGACGGCCAATTTTAGAGAAAACCTGGTGCTCTGTTTTTTTCATAGTGAAATAATTCATAATTAGTCGATGCAGAGTGACATGATTTCATGCTTATGTTAGATGAGGTGATTGCATGATATGATGCTTTTGTTTATGCATGAATGCAGTTTTAGGGTTTTCCAATGAGACAACATCTTTGCTTCCAAACTTTATATTTACAATAGTCAGGCTACTATTACAATTTCCTTGCGTTTCAAGGAGCTATATGCTTATTACATGGTCTCGTGCGTATATCACAAGAGACCATGATTACAAAAACAACCCAAAATACATTGTTTACCCTCGTACTACCTTACATGGTCATATTACAAAACATTATAATATGATTAGTAGAAACTCCCATAATACATTGGCTCTTGTTGCAGGTTTTCAAGATAGGTTCGAAGGTTTGGATCCGGATTCTCCATTTGTGCCAAACGTAGTCTGGCCACTTCGCCTTCGTTGGACAACTCATATGCCCTTCTGGTAACTCCTCTAATGACTTTCATGAGATGGTTAGGATTCCATTCTTCATTGAGCCTGTTGTTTTCCAATGTCTGTTCTGTAATTTGCCAGTCCTCATTTTCTATCTCGATGGCCTCCTTTTGAGCGATTAGTCAGTCAATCTCTTCACGATACTTGGTGGCTTCCTTTCTTTGCTTACTGATAAGATGCTCTTTTTGTTGACTCGATGCTTCCATATGCTCTAATCTTTCTTGCATCGCCTGATTTGCACTTCGTCGTTCGTTGATTGCGGACCTTTGCTTGTGGCTCATATCTTCCAACTGCATAACCCTTTGATTCATGATATGGTTTGCTTCTTCAAGTTTCTTCATTTGAGTGAAATGCCCTCTTGTGTATGACCGCATCTCATCATTTTCTCGTTGTAGTTGGCTTAAAGCCATATCTTTAGCCAAAGATCCTACTTGATGATGCATCGCACGTGGCAATCTGGATTCAAGTTCAGTTTTCTCTTGCCTTTCCTGTCTATAGTGTCTGCTTTTCCTTGTCCCTGATACCATGGTCTGTATTCGGGAGCCAAAAAATCGTGGAGGTCTTGATCACCTTTCATCATCACAATGCTCAAACTGTGATTGATTAGTCTCGGGTTGTTCCAACAAGCTAGCACTTATTCATTTTTAGCCTTCGAATCGGGATTAAAGTACCGGTAGATAAACCAACCCATTCCCTCAGTTGCTGGCAGCATCTGCATGCAACCAACTTGCCTTCTAAACATATTTGGTGCATATGCCACACATCCTTCGGGACCTAGTAGTGGTACCCATGGGTTGATCCAACAACTATACAACACACTTCCCTCATACATCCACGAAGCTTTCCATTGGATATCATCACTCCCAAATGTGGCAAACTCTCTAATTGAGCATCTTCTTTCGTCGAAGACTAACAAGTATCTGATTATCGGGATCCCTCTTCTCGGAGAAGGCTTCAGATGTCCGAAGATCCAGACCACCAATAATGGGGCCCAACCAAGTAGGATGCCCCCACGACTTTCTCTAAATCTCCCCAATGCTGTGAATGTTTCAGACATAATGGAGACTATTGGGTTGACGTCATGTATAACTTGTTCGAACACCTTCATGGCGGAGTTGTCAATGTGGTATGGGATTCGAGGGTATAGGATTATCCGTATAATACCAACGCGAATATCTTCAAGTCCCTCTCATTTTTTGGTCCGATGCTGATCTGAGATATGAGTGTATCAACAACATGAATGTCTTCGATTTCACCATCAGATCCTATCATATGCTCTATCTTCGCACTTTTTGTATCTAAAATCTGGGATAATACATTCTTTTCCTTGAGATATGGCTTATGGATGTAGATTTTATATGGCTTCTTGGGATATATTTGAAGGATAGGTTTGTACTCTTCCATAAGGGGGGAGAAATCATTCTCATTTATGGAGAAGCAATGATAAAACGGATCCCAGTAGTTGAGCAGTTCTTGAATCATGTTTATCGAGAATGGGATATATAACAAATCAGGTATTCTCCTGTTTGTGCGAGTGAACACCTTCTCTCCTGTTCAGTGAAAGTTCCCCACATCTGCTTGAGTGATTGGATCCTGTTTTCAAGAATCCTAACTGGCCCCACGGGTAGAAGATCAATCATTGCACCTCTTGGTAGACGATCACCTCTTTCCCTATACCGTTTCATTGAATTGAACATGACTATTTCCTCTTCTTCAATAATGGGTGATATTCTCGCCATGTTGTAAATATAAAATTCTGCAGCACGAATGTTATCTCGTGGCAAAACCTATTCATGAGATGACATGTTAGCAATATCATCATTAAAGAATAAGTGTGACTGCATGCGTGAAATGATATGGTTACCGCGCACAGTTAAAGTTAACCCTTTCACATAGACAATAGACACAAAACACCAAACCTTTTATTTCATCATTCAGGGTTACATCGGTATTTTACAACAAAATGGTTAGTTACCATGCCCTGAGCATCTTCGACCATCTTGACAAAAGCGGGGAAGGCATCAAAACTCCCTTTCTTTCCTTTTTTTTTTTTTTTTTTTTTTGAGTTTCGGAACAAAATATGTCAAAATAGCCGACATATTCCTAGTAGTCGACAGTTACAACAAACTCCGATCTTCATTGCAACATATGTGAGGGCTCCGGGTCCTCGGTGTCTGCGTTATCTGGTGCTTTGGAGCACTCACCTATGTAAGTTCTCACTTCTATTGCCTGCTTCATGTTGTATTTGGTTTCCTTCAGAAAGTATTTCTCTCTCATGAATGGTGGGAAACATACTTTGATTCTTCCGTCGGTGTGGTGGTTTCTGGCGGATCTTAATGCCACCGGCACGTCGTTTGGTGACAAATTATTATGGACACAGAGTCTATCCATCATGCTTTTCCATAATGTAGCCATTTTTACTGGTTCCAGAGTGGGATTTTCTACGAAGCACTGTTCAAACTTTGCAAATAGTTTTTCCACCACTATGTATCCGTTATTAATGATTTTTATTTCCCTTTCCACACAAAAGGTGAGGAAAAGATAGTCATGTTGGCTTTCATCAAGGAATAACACCCATCTGCATAGTGATAGAAACTGTCGGAGCCATTTTCCCAAGAGAGTTACTTTGTCGGGGAAAGTTTCCCATTCGTGAACACAGTTCTTCAAAACAGGTTTGTTCATTATGACTCCTATAGTAAAGACACGGATCATACGTCTATGGAGACAGTATACAATCTTCGACATGTCTGGGTATTCTTCGAGAGGTATATAAAATACATTCAGATGTTTGATCCGGAGATTGTGATTACCATACTTGTGTAATAGTAGGTTTCTCGCCTTTTCAATAAATACATCGTCATTCCCCTTCAGGCCCCTCGTGATTATATCATGAACTATTTCAAGCTGCACCTTCCTTAGGTTGCGGACTAAATTTTGATCAATCCAGACAGGTACGAGCCTGCTGGCAGCAGAACGGGCGAGCACTTGCTGGGCTATAAAGGTGCCTTCCATGTAATCAACATATGTAAAACGGCTTAAGTTTTAATTGTGAGCGATATAAATATGCATGTGATAATGATGCATGAAAATGTGCTCATATCAACTTATTGTTATTATATTTTTTAAAGTCATTTTCAACATATAAGTCTTTGTTATACAAACAAATGAGAATAAACAATAAAGAACAACCAAAATATTCACTATCGTAACAGAATATACACAAAATATTGTATAGATTCACACTTATAAAATAAAGAACACCCGAAACATTTATCACTACAGTAGAGAATGCATACACAATATATACATACATACACATATATAAAAATATGACCGCCTATTTTAGGTGTGACCTAGGTGTATACGGGCAGTGTAACGACATGGTTAAGGGCGGCTTCGGGATTGTTTTGGACAGTTTAGGGTAGCCTCTAAGCTTACTATATGATGGCAGAGGAATACCTAGGAATTTGGCTCCCAAGTTGTATCCTGTCGTAGCCCTTTCGAACTGCCTGGATACCTCGAGATCATCCTCGGATCCGAGTTCAACTTAGTTAGAAAGTTTTGTGTGACTACCAATATTGTGGCTGTCACGATACTCCTTTCAATTTTCTAAAGGGATAGCTCGAGCATAGAGCTTTTGTGCATGAATGCATAATTTAGATTGCGAAAGTGTAATTGCGCAAATAAGTAGCAAACACCCAACACGTAATAGAAAGTTAGAAAAAAACTTATCAAACTTAATTATGTAGCTCGACTCTCGAAGTCCCCAATGGAGTCGCCATCTGTCGCAACCGTCCCTCCGGGGTCGGGGTCGCGTTCGCTTTTGGCGGGGGTGAGAGGATCTTACCCTCTGGTAATCCTTCTTTTTTATATGCATGCCTTTTTCGTTTGATTCTGAATTAGATCGGGATCTTAATCCCAATTCTGTTTTCTCTTTTTTTTTCTCTTCTCAGGGAAGGAAAGGAGAAGCAGAAGCCGCCTACTGCGCACACTTTGCCAAAATCCGATGGCAGGGTTGTTTCAGTGAGTTTCTTTTGCCCTTCTTTTTTTAATTTTCGTTATTCTGGGTTTTGGTTCATTATCACTATTTTGGGATTCTAATTCTTGGTTCCCTTGTTTTTGCAGATCTCTACAATTTGAAGAGACACTAGGTGATATCTTTCTAAACTTAAACTAGATTGTTGGTTATTATTGCTATGGTTTTGTCTGTGGTGTTAAGAAACCAGAGTTTTGGTTTGCACCCCTGTTGGGCTCATTCGACTTTAATATTTGGTTTTGGATCTGTTGAAAACGAAAGCTTGCTTTATTAAATTTTAATGTCTAAAATGATCCTAGTGTAATCTGAGGTCAAAGCTACTGCTTATGACCACCATATTGGTGTGAAGCTTTCTTCTAAAATTGGGATTTGGTTATATGATTGATTTGAAAAAAATTAATATGAATTGGTAAAATCTGAAATTCTCAATAGCATAAGGGCATTTATGGTGTTAGGCATGCGAAAATATAACAACTAAAAAGAGAACTTTGTAATTACCAAAAGTTGGTAATTTGGTCGAAAGGGGGTGCCCTTAAACACAAATAAGAGGTATTATAAAATACTGTCCCAATGGTCTGATTTGAATTCTTTTTCTGTTTTGAATGGATTGTTGGATTATTGGTATGTGGAAAGAGTAAATGAACTATCCTAGTTGATTATAGAACTAAGTTTAGCTATCAACTTAGCAAGAATTATGCTTGCTAGAAAACTGAGAGCATTTTAAGCTGATTCATAGTATGTGGGTGATAAAAAGGCAAGCTGTCTATCTTAGCATATAATGAAAGAAATGAATGGCGTAAAGAGGCATACATTGTGATCCATTTGTTTTGTGCCCTATGACATGCCTCAAAAATTTTGTTGAAAAAGTAGTTGTAAGCTTACCTTGTTTTGTAGTTGGTGTGCTTGGGGACAAATGTACACATTTTACCCCCTCATTTCTTGTCCTTTATGTTTAGTAGATCATCTTCCCTCGCTTGTTTTATGCTAGGTTGTGCTTGTTTTGTTACATGTCAGGTCCTAGCACGTGTGGGAACGTCCATGACGATTTTCAATCATTTAGAAGTAAAAACGAGCCAAAAGGTGGAGGTTGAGCCCTGTTCACGGGCTGCAGCTTCAGTTCACGGTCTCTAAGACCTTGAAATGAAAGCTCGACTGTGAAGTGGCCAATTTCCAGAATGGTTCTAGAGGTTACTGGCAAGAGGCCGGTTCACGGTAAATCCCAAACCGTGAAGACGTCAATTCACTCTCTCTAAGACCATGAACTGATCAACGCGTCCTTGAACTGAGGTCTAAGACCGTGAACTGATCAACGCAGCCGTGAACTGAGGTCTTATACCTTGAACAGAGCCCGATCTGGGTATAAAAGGAGAAGGGAGCTAAAGGAGAAAAAAAAATTATTTTTGGGTTCTAGTTTTAGAATAAAGGAGGGTTTCTAGTGAGAGATTAGGGTCTCCTCTTCCTAATCTAGAGAAAGAAAGTGCAATTCAAAGGAGGAAGTGGGCTTGCCCTCAGCTAGAGGAGTGAAGGTTTCTTCTTCTCAAGGGAGATTCAAGCAACAAGGAGGAAAGATTTTCATCTCTTCATGGTTCTTTCTCTCCTTTTCCTTGTTTTCCTTTTCCTAGCTATGGAATAGCCTACTTATTCAGTTGGGTGTTTGTAAACCCTAGCTACAATTATGTGAATTCTTGTATGAATTGAATGATTTGTGTGTGGTTGTGTTTAATGTGGGTGTGGAGGTATTTTCATGGTGATTGTGCATTGTGTGTGCTTCACAATCTTGTGTGTTATGTTGACCTAGCTTAGAGAGGAGACCTCCTTAGGTTAAGAGTCTCAATTAGAGATGGGTGTTCTTGGGCATTGCATGCCTCCTAAGCTAGTTTAGAGAGGAAACCTCATTTATCCAAAGAGGCTCAATTTGAGCTGGGTTTCCTTGGGTATTCAGTGCCTCCTAAACTAGTTTAAAGAAAATCCTCCTTAACCTAAGAGGCTCTATTAGAGATGGGTTTCCTTGGGCATTTCATGCCTCCTATTCTAAGTTAATTAAGGGCAAACCTCCTATTTCGTATTAGCACTTAGGGTTTGGTTGTGGGTGGTCGTCCGAACTCCAATCCGAGGGTGAAGTCTAACCATTCCTTAGTCAATAGGTAGAGAGGGTCGCATTAGTGGCTTGGATCGTATCCCATTTCCTCGACCTAGAGACTAAGAGGGTAGCTTTGGCTACTTGCTAGACTTCTCTGCGGTTTATAACCCTCTAACCACACACGGTCATTCGATCCTTCAAGTCGTAATTGTTAGCTAGGGAGAGCAACACCCGGGGGAACACTTCTCTCGTTGGGACAACCTCGATTTACTTTACTTGCTTGTTTTCATTTGTAGATTTCTTAGTTTTAAACCCAAGAAAGTTTGCTAGATAACAAACTAAGCTATTGAAGTAGTGGTACATGGACCTGCTCGGGTTTGATAATTAAATACTTGCCATATACTGCACCCGGATAGAGTTTAAAAACTTGGGCTCTAGTCGTGATTAATTCGTCGTGTAGTTTCGTGCGAGTACCCGGCCCGGCCCATGTACCCCTACTTCGATTGTTTGAAACATTATCTCGCGGAATGTTGTTTGTTGAAATCTCTACAACCTACAATTTGAAAACAAGACTTTGAAAAGTAAAAGGGTGGAAAGCTCTTGGTGAGAAGCTTCACTCGCGTGTTGCTTCCCCCTAACTAACTACCAAGAACCGTCGGATCGAACGAACCGGTGTGTGACGAGGCAATTGTGACCCGTAGGAGGTGCAACAATGGTTAGAAACTATCCTCTCAATTGTTAGGCCAAGGTAAGCATTAGAGGCTACAATTGTAGCCCTCTTGGCCCAAGCAATGGAGGGTTGACTTACCTTCTCCCTCAAACCAAGGCTTGGACGACATAATCACAATTAACATAGATGTCTAACGTAGAGGATTGCCCTTCATTAACCTAGTTAGGAGGCTTGGAATGCCTAAGAAAACCCAGCTCAATTTTGAGCATCTTAATTAGATAATGGGGCTTCTCTCTAATCTAGGTTAGAATAGCATAATAAATTGCCAAGCAAACAATATGCACAATCACCATGAAAAATACCTCAACGCTTAAACTAAACACCACCATCACACAATCATTCAATCCACACAATCAATTACATGATAGTAGTTAGGGTTCTACAACACCCAAGTGAAAAGGAAAACTACTCCATGCTAGACAAAGGAAGAAAGAAACCATCATTGTGATGCCTCCAACTCTCATTGGGCTTGTAGAGATCCTCCAAAGAAGAGGAGCTTCCAAAATCTTCACTTGGAGCAAACCCTAGCCTCTTCTCCCTCTTGATTCGTGATTTTCTCTCTCTAGAGTTTCAAGAAGAAGAAGGTTTCTCTCACTTTGGGCTCTCCCCTCTTCTTCCTTTCAGCTGAACTCAGTGAGGTGGATCAAAACGCACCGCTTCACTTCTGGGTTCACGGTTTGTGGTTCCAGTTCACGGTCTTAGTAACCTCAGAAACCCCTCTAGACGCTTCGTTGTTCATGGTTTGTGGTTCCAGTTCACGGTAATGGCGACCGTTAACTCCAATGTTGGACCGTGAACTCAGGCTAAATCCTCCTCTTTGCCTGGTCTTTGCTCTTTTTCTTCCAACTTTCGACTTCGGGGTTGGTTTCACCTGTTAGACTCTGAAACACATCGAAACACAAGAAACCTAGCGTAAAACCACCCTTTTTGGAGCTCAATTGCCACAAACGTCAAAGAGAAATGGGGAGAAAAAATGTACAATTAGACCCGAATCACTTAGGTTAATTGCAGATGGGAAGAAACCGAGTGTTGAGTTGAAAGGACCTCAATTTTTATCATCGCTCAACTTTTGGCCGATGCCAATGTAGTACCCAACATTTGATTATTTTAAATACAGGCTTATAAAAAAAATTCCTAATTCCAACTCAATTCCCAATCCTCTATAAATACCCAATCTACGAACCCTAGATGAACACGTCTACATTCGTAGTTCTTACACATTGTTATGATTGCTATGTTAGTGAACAATGGATGCATGATGAAATAAGCTCTCTTAATAAATGGATCAGAACCCCTCCCTTGAAAGTGGAATTTCCAATTCTTTTTATTTTTAATAATGGAATTTCCAATTGATTAAGCGTTTATTTAGAAAGAAAAGCCTGCGTGCTGAGACACTAGAACTGCCGATCAACAATCGACCTCCATCTCTATATAATGAACATGATTTATTGCATTCAGAATATGAATGACGAAGGGGAAAAATGAGAACAATTTGCTACGTCATAAAAACAAGGTGAACATCTTTTTGACTTGAACCACTCTAAGACAATCAATGCGCATTACTAAAAGTAGAACACAACAACAAATGTAGACAATCGTGGAATAGATACGCCACTTCTCATCCCTAACGTCTCCTTGATGACTTCCCTTTGGCCTTTGGGTCGAAATGGTGAGCTTTGAGTTTCTTCTTCTTTGGCAAACCAGTGGCACTACCACCGCCACCTTCCCTGAAGGGCATTCCCATCAAAGCCAACATTTTCTGGGCTTCTTGATCTGTGTTAGCTGTGGTTGAGATGCACACGTCCATTCCCCTCGGCTTTCCTGATAGATCAAACTTGATCTCTGGGAACACACCTTGCTCTCTTATTCCAATGCTGTAATTCCCGTGTCCGTCAAAGCTACTAGTGCTCACACCCTGGAAATCCCTTGTCCTTGGAAGCCCCAAGTTTATGAGCCTGTCTAAGAATGAGAACATCACCTGGTGGTTCAAGGCCAACCAGAGTAGTGTCATACTTGGAGCAGGAAGAATTTATCCTGCCGATAGCAGTTGCGACCGGATAAGGGTGGGAATAGAAAGAAAGATTATGCACTGTAGACTCACATTTCCTCTGAGTGTTACCGCGATTCCAAGTGGCTGACCCTCCCGGATCTTGAAAGTGGCAATGGAGTTCCGTGCTCGAGTTTTCACTGGTCTCTGGCCGGCAATCAGGGCTAAGTCGTTCATCGCTGCGTCCAGTCCCTTGGCATTCTGTGCAGCTTCCCCAATCCCACAGTTGAGCACAATCTTGTCAATTTTTGGAACCTAAACTTATAGAAGAAGAATGCCATACCCACGTCAGATACTCTGTTAATCATGGAATTAGCCATTCAAATAATATGG